TGGAAAATAAATGATAATTGTATTATAATATTTAATGGAAGAGAAAAATAGAATATAAAAACTTCAAGTACACGTTTTATAAAAAATTTTTAAATTATTATTAAGAAAGTTTATAAAATTGAAAAGTCAGTGCAGGCTATAACTATAAATACATATAATAATACTCATTTTTAACGTAACTCTTTCGTAGTTGTAATGTATAACAAATTCCACTTCAACTATATTTATATAGGTAAGAGCTTACATTTAGTTCTCAAAAATATACATAAAATTGTTTTAAATTACTATTTAGCACATATTGTTTAAAATAAATCCATTAAATGGGTTTTAAATGTACTAAACTGTTTGAACGGTTCAGAGTATTAAAGTTGCACGTTCAACTTATAAGATTTGAATTAAAAAATAGAAATTAAACGTATTGAATTTATATTTGCCCGTTAGGTGTCAAGTTTCATTTATATAGTCCTACACATCAGGTGTTTCTAGTTAAAATATGAAAAGTATTTCATACAATATTTGTATATTATCATCTGCAGTAACAGTTTATTACATGAAAGGTGAAACACTAAAATGTCTTATACCAAATACTTTTTGTAATAGTTTAGTCGCATATTTCTAAAATGATTGATTTTTAATTACATTGTGCTCGAGGGGGCAATGTACACGTACAAGACCACAAATGTCTATTTTAAGAAACGCTCAACATTCGAGAACACGTTAAACTTTTATTAATTTAATTCAAAAAAAATGTTTGATGAATTATTTTACGAGAATCATGCTATTATACCACAGTCATAGCATAACTTGATAACTATGGAACTAATTGAAACCTAACAATAAACTGCGGTATAGCATGACTGAAATTTAAAAAAAAATGAATGAGTAATACGTCTAATTAACCTGTCCGTCACTCCGTCCAATTACTAATATTATAATTAATTTGGTTTGGATGATGGAAAAGTTCACGATAGGTACTTCATTTAGCGCAAATTACGATCGACACTTCGCTCTTGCAACTCGTTGAAATTTAAATTTAATTAAGACGCATTTAGGTAACTAGGCACATTATCGTTTATTTTAATACCGTAATAAAAACGTTGTTAAAGTATGTTGGTATTGAATTAATGGGCATTTATTTGTTAAGATCATGAAAGAATGTGTTTATAATCAATTTTTATAATTTAATATTAGTATGATTTTGATGTACCTTCCTCCTATCTTATCTTATCTTATCAGTAGGGTTAGGATGTATATACATTATTAGTATGGTTTATATGTATAAAATTACATATTTTAGAAGATTCGATATTAATGTCCTCGAATCGTCTCATATTGTTACAAATAATCTACTTGTTACTTTGTCAGTAACATTTTTTAAAATTTATATAAGTATTTCATTTTTAGTAAACAGAAGTACCTAGGTGCATTAAATATTTTCAAACAGAAAGAAATGAGTTCAAATTGTGTCACAAACAAATTTAGGTATCTGCCTCTTAATAATAATTATAATGTATGATATTATGTTAGTCGGATTTTCAAGTTCTCAAAATATTACAAAAACTGAATTTTTAAATTAACAGATACTGTAGTATTAAATTATTTTATTAGAAGATAATTGTATTGCCTAAAATATTTTATAAATGTTTACAACTTTAAACTCTCCGAAGGTATATTAACATTAAACATAATATATTATTTTACTATCCAATTGTAACCATTGACTTATTTGTATGTATCACTGTTACTATTTATAATATTATTTTAGTAGTTATTAAACTATAAAATGTAGTTACAGTACCTACTTATTGATACATTAATAATCATACGTACCTATATCATTTAATAACATACTGATTGTATAAATAATTTTATCAAAGTTAATGTTAACAGTTTAAAAATATATTGTTGACGTAAAAAAAATATAATATAATAAAATATAAGTTATAGAATTGTATACTTTTAAACAATTTAAATACTTAGTTATCATTTTGTAACATGCATTTTTAACTAACAATAATAATTTAAATTAGTTATTTTAGTCTCTCAATATAATTTTTACGAGTCTGAAAATAATATTTTTTATTTAATGAATACACATTTAATGAAAATATTTTGATTTTTAAGCAAACCGTGTGTGTATTTAAGATTCAGGGTACATACATTTTCCTTTATTCACTTCTCACTGATGATCAAATTGTACAAGTGATTATCTGAGCAAAGGGTTAAACTAGCTAAATTCTTCAGAAATCAGAAGCAAACACAGAAGTCCTCCCAAGACACAAAATCTTTAATTGTATAAAGCCGAATATGTGTCAACAACTAATATAATTTACTAGCTACATCCCAGAGTGTATACCTCAATAAATCAAACATATATTAATAATATGTATATCATAAAAAAATATAGCCATACTAAGATAGCAACTGGATATTGATTTTGTTTGATTTAAATTAAAAAACGTACTACGTACTTTGTTTAGTAACTAATGAAAAAGTTATTTTTCTAACGTCCTATTGTCTGTATTATTTTAAAAAATGAAATCAATCAGGAGTGTATAACAAGTCGCGTTATAATATTGTTACATAATTGTTTGAACATTTAATCTTTCGGATACTGTGGGTCGTACAATTTGGATAATTTGGATAATTGGTTTTTAGTTTGACTATTTTATGCACATTCAGATTATTTACAAACTACGAAGTAACTTCTGCCTTACTAAGAAAAAGAAATACAAAGTTAAACAACGTCTTAATAGATACGAAATGTTATATATTTTATGTAGGTACCTATTTAATTTTTAAATTCCATTATGAATATTAAAACATGTTTAGCTCAAGTAAATAATTTTTAGAATAGTCAACTCAGGTTTTAAATAAAATATTCTTATTTTAAAAATTCAGGTTGATCACTAAAAAAAAATTGATAACTAAGTTATTACAAAAAGGTTTATTTTAACGTCAATTAATAATAATTCAAAAACGTTTGTGGAAAATATTTTAATACTGTATATGTGTAATGTGTATTCTATATATTAGTAGATTTTCTCATAGAAATTAAATCTGGAAAAAAATAACAATATAAATAAAAATGTATGGTAGGTACGTACCTTGTTAAACTTACAAGGTTGTTTAAACTACAACACGCTGATGACTGATTGTGAATATGATATTTATTAAGTATAATTTTTATCTTAATGGTACTTATAAAATATTAATAATTATTGAAAAATATATAGAAGGAAAATTTTTTTTGTCAAAAAATGAACCCAATTGGATTTACTATACTACCTACCAAAAATATAAGATTGTAAAACAAAAAAACTTTTTATCATTTTTATTGCATACAAATGAACAAATAACAAGAAGTAGATATTATCTTGAAGTAATGTCACAGTTCAACTCTTACTAAAATTCTAAAAATGTTATGTTATCAATAGAAATGATAAATATCGAATCAAATTACGTATTTAATATGTTTTCTTAAAATTTACTTAATAATTTATAATTTGTATTATGGTATGAACAAAAACTAGAATCTCTGCATTTTGTTCAGTCATTTTTCTCGTTTAATAATTACCATGTATTATAGGTACTAAACTGACATAAGAGTAGGTATGTACAATAATATACAATGTATTGTATATTTGTATAGTTGTATACAAGTTTTAAGTAGTGTTTATCTATAGTTATTTAAAGTAAGTATATACAATATAGTGCATATTATAACCATTTAATAAATGATAATATATTATTAAATCATAATTTGAATAATAATTACTAGTACACTGTAAATAATAATCACTTTATAATATAATCAAAATTGTATACATTATGTATAGAGTCACTTAAAAGATTTGTTTCTACGGGTTTTAAATACTCGTCTTGATTAAATCGATAATGTAAAGTTAATTTTCTTACTTCAGTTTCCCGGGCCATAATTGAAAATAATGGATACTATTTATCTGCGTGAACTTTACAATATTTTAAGCCCTTAATGATCTTAACCTTCACATTAGTTAGGATGTGGAAGGTCGAGATTATTATTTTATATGATAAAAAAAATTATGTTTGTGAAATATAAATCTAATAATAAAATTATTAACCAACATAATGGCATGATAAGAAGTAACAGTGTATATATTTAAAAACAACTGTCAACGTTTTCAAAAATTGATTAATGTTAACAGTTTGTGTCTACAAACTTTACTCTTCACATCGTTTAAATATATAAACAATATTATATTATACAGTGTGAATAATATATGATTTATGTGGTTATTTAATTTTTGTTTAAAGTTCCTCAAACTGTAAAATTAATTTAAAACTTTTATAAATCAATTCGATTTATTTAAGCATTCCTAATGACATAATATGCACAAAATTAACTCACCTAAAGTTTTTGATTGACCATTAGTAGGTTTGTGATATTTAGTTCATTTTTTTAAACTAGTTAATACGATTTCAGAACGGTCTTGAAAAATTCAAACCAAAAAAACTTGGAAAAAAATATAAAATACAATCGTCCACGAGGCAGAAAATGATAAATATTTTTAAAAAAAAATTCCACTCTGACCACCAATCAAGGCACGCCGTAGTCGTCATCAACGGAGATGTATGTTTAATGATGTATGTATTATCAATGTTATTATTGGATACGCATAACATAATGCGATTGAATGGGCGAGCTCACAAATTTTCGGCGTCTCACACCACAACGACTAAGGTAGTCGGATAGTATTTAGTTTTAGTCTGCTGCTGCTGAGAGTGCTGCACGCAGTCTCGTTAAAAAAAATAACGCGCAAACACATTATATATAAGGTACATTACCTAAGTTTACAACTTTAAACGTTTCGTTTACGTCCGCAAACGCACATCGGCTTTTTTCAATACTGTTTTCAGTTTTTTTAGTTTTTTCATTTTTAGATTTTTATTTGTAACAGTTGTCAATCGATAACTTTTTAAATACCTTTTTAACAAATAAACTAACTAAAAGTTTCAAAATGCACAATCTTTTAGGAAGCAAATTTAAGGGCCATTGTAGACAATTATTCGCAGCAATTACAGGTTAGTTCGTATACTTAGTATAGGTACTATACTATATAGACATTTGTGAGTACCTTTTATTATGATAATACGTTTTAAATATATTTTTATTTTATTTTATTCGAGATATATTAAAAATATTTTGTAGGGAACTAGGTAAATTTTAGAGCATTTTAAAAATTTTGTTTTGTGTATTTTTTAAATAAATTATAAAACATAATTTATATATTAAATTATGAATACGCACATGAGCAGTATAAATAACCGTGTTAAAATCATTTCTAAAAATTAAAAATGCTTTGAAATATATTTACCGGAAGTATTTAATTTAAATAACTATTTCACCATTTCACTTCAGTAATAAAAAATAATTTTAAATATGCCTTTTTATTTATGTGTTCTAAAACAATATAAAGTATTAAACTAAAAATATCGAATATTTTTTTGAATTTGAATTAGGTACTTGAATGTTTTTGGTTAAACAATTTATTTATTTTTTAATTTATCTCTAATTAAAAACTTGACAAACATTATTCACTAACATTTTACATAAAATATAATTTATCTAAAGTTCATTGGGTTCATATTAAAATAATGGAATCTTATCATAATTTATATGATTTTATTTACGGTTCATAATGATATATAATGGTTTATTTAACGTTATCTTACAATATTTAATATTTTAACTCAATACGTCTGGTACCTACCTATATTTTGTTGAAAAAATGCTTGATATTTTAGTAACTCGATAAGTTTAATTGATTTTAAGCAGATCGAAGGGAGCCACTAAGGATTATTACTAAAATGTATGTATTTTTCTCTTCATTTTGGAGGAAACCTCTTTTTTGGGTTGTTAATGTGGTTCAATAATTTCGTTGACGGTTAACCAGTCTATATGGATAGACAACAGAACACAGAAGGTAATACATCATATAACTCATAATGCAGTTGATTTTTTAAATCACCTGTCAGTTATCATAAACATATTGTTTATGTTATTGTTATTATCATAGTCATAAAGTCTTCTCGATTATCAAAACCTCCTACCTCCCACGAATAAAAATAAGTCATGACTCGAGACTACTTTTAGTGTACCTAAGTCCACGCAGCTCTCAATATACGCAACTATACGCACCGGTCAATATATATTACCGTGTCGGCATAAAACGGTTGGAGATGGATATAATTTGTACCAGGTCATCGTTTTGTTTAAGTCAACATTAAACATTAATTATACATATATTATACAATAATTAACATCTATATAGCCAAAACACGCGCACGCTGTTAGCATAGGTATACACATATGTCATATAGTACAAATGCGTCGTACATATTATTTCTATACGTCAACTATACGGTATAACGTAACGAATTAAAAACGATCAACGCTGTTCAGACTGTATTTATTTTTATTTTTTTTAATAACGATGGCCAATATCTGTGGACTATATTAAATATACGGAGTAGAGTAATTTCGTCATCCGGTCTGATGAGTATATTGAAACAATCAGACTGTTATTATAATAATATTAAAACGAAACGACGTATATAATATAATTATGTTCGCTAAAATCGGTTGCACGAATTATTACTATTCATATTATAATATAATTAATGCGTTGGAATTGACAATAATTTACAATGTATATTTATACGTCATATAATATATATAATAATATATCTGCATCGAATCTGTTGTAGCGATGTCGAATTTGTAACAACTTATTTGGATACTGGATCGACTTGGTCGATGGCAAGGGTACGTCGACCGAGTTCGAGCTCGGGTTAGGTCGTAAAAAATGCTTGTCGAAAAACGTCGTTCCGATAAAATGTATATTATTATGTATAAAGGTACACAGCGGAGTGACAAACGTTATGATATTAAAGGTGTACATTATACCTAGGATATAAATTACGCGGGAGTCGTTTATATACCTACATATATGCATATATAATAAGGTATGTACCGCGGTCGATTTACGTTGGAGATAATGTTTAAATTTATAAAAACCGTACCGTACGGTATACGACCGACATGGTATATAAATTACTCGGAGGCCCGAGGACAGGAAAATAGAAATTATTATAGTGTATCGCAGTTACACGGGCATAATATGTACATGCACATTGCACATGCATAAAATACCTTTAGGTACCTACACGTAGGAACGCACACTGTGGAGAGCAACTAAACAGCACACGTCGCGCGTGTCAGTATGACACCGTAAATTTCAAAATAAATCGCATAATGTGCACCTCGCACACGTTTCCAGCTCCGTCCACACCCCTCCCCCGTAGCCGTTGTTACGATATACACCTATATGCGATCATGAAAATATCGTATTCTCTGCGATGTATTATAATTGTTTAGTATCGGTATATGGATTATTATATTATTTACACATATTTTATATATTATTTGACATTATTTGTACATAGGTAACTACATATTCTGACGTTAATCGCGGACGTCGGATTAAATCGTGTACGGTACCAATTAATATGCATAACTGTTATTATAATAGTACTCTGTATCGTTTCGATATGACTATAATAATGTAGCTGATGGCATGTGTATATATACAATATACATATATTTATACTAGTGCACATAATTACCGTTCGTTTATTATATTAATGATTTACGTCTGCTGTTGCACGTGATCGGTAGGCATGTAATACATAATATATAATTAATATACAATATATTATTATATTTTTAATTTCTAATATCATACTCGTAATTCGCGATTATTTTTTGTCCGCCTATAGCGTTGAGCAAAATGAAATTCCGCCAAACGTTAACCCAAT